AGCCAGTTGAGGTGATTCATCTTGGACGCCTCCTTGGTGAGGTGTTCTGGACACGTCCCACTGGGAGGAGACCCAGAGGAAGACCTAGGACACGCTGGAGGGACTATGTTTCTCAGCTGGCCTGGGAACACCTTGGGATTCCCCCAGAGGAGCTGGTCCAAGTGGCTGGAGAGAGGGAAGTCTGGGTCTCTGCTTAGACTGCTGCCCCCGAGACCCCGGATAAGAGGAAGAAAACAGATGGACGAAAAATAAATGTACATTTGTTGCGGTGGATGATTCAGGATTATGGTAAACTGACGTGGCTTTCAACAACTAACATGAGCCATAGTCATAGTTTTAGCCAATCAGAGCAGAGTAGGGTGAGTCTTTCTTTCCGAGCCCAGGAGAGAGCACCACCTGTCCTCAMTGAGTGTCTGGACATGTTCACATCCCAAATCTCCCAAACTGAGCTGTTGAACCTCCCAGGACATACTTACATGTCCATGTATTGTAGATAATGAACGTAGGGTAAACATTTAATTCACTTTCTTTCATTCTTTCTGACTCAACAATTTCTGTGTTTAGTTTGTCATTGAATTTACATGATATTAAAACTGTTCATTGGTAACATTCTGCAGTAGCAGTAGGTGATCAGGGGATTCTGATGTTATCAGTCCATGAAATGGATGTTATTGGGAGTTATCAGTCCCATACAGTGGCTTCAGAGGGTCCCTATTGTGGCTTCTAGGCTTCAGACTGTCCCGACAGTGCCCCCTAGTGGGTTAATATATCAATGACAATGAATGTGTAAATAACCAAAAGATTCTGTAATAAAACTTTTGTGTAGGCTATGTGTCGGTCTGGTCTCCCGCTCTCTGGTGCGACACTCTACCCATTGCCCTATCGGAAGGCCACAATATACAACCATTGGAGGGCTATGTCTTTAGCGCTAACCATGTCATTTGCTCTAAAATTAACCTTAGTGGCTTTATGCCTCATATTTACCAGTTTTTCTATGCCTCGTTAACCAGATAGTGGTTTTATGCCTCATATTAACCAGCTGACAATCAGAGGCCATTCTATGGGACGGGGAACCTGCTAACCGGCACAGGCAGGACATTCTGAAGCCATTCTAGGGGACTGATAACGCCTAATAACGTCCATTTCATGTATGATAACAACTGAAGCGGGTGCGGTAATTGCCGTCATGCATGGTTTTTGAATTTGAGGAAATTGGTACTAGAAAGTCCTTGGAAGGTCCTTGAATTTGATATTGACCAAGATGTGGGAAGCCTGTTTTAAATTGTGATTTTCAGATAGATTTAGTAAAAGTAAAAAAAAATGTTTTTGGTTGACTGAAAATGTACATCATTATGGTTTTCATTTAACAACTTGTTTTGTCCTTCAATAATTTATGTTTGATATTGTTTATGCATTCAGACTTTTTTGTTTTGTACTGGTTTAAGAATAACTTTTCTTTAATAACCATAAAATGATGCATTAAAGCTTTATTTTGTAGGACAAGAAATTGCATGTTCAATACATCTGTGTTATTTCGATTCACTCTAGACTTTAAGGGTAGATGACAAAAACTAAAATTACTAAAGCATTTTTTATTCTTACTTAAATCTCAACTTGATGCTCTAACTGAAGCCATAAAAACAAAAGCTGAGTTATAGATTGAAATGGTATCACCATTTGTACAAAGAATGCTCATCAGATGTGCACAAACTCTTGTTTGAAAATGTATACATTGCTTGTGAATTGATTTGTCTCATGTTCATATTGGCTCTTTGTTGCAACCAACTCAGTCCCTTTGAAAAAAAGGCCAACACAAGCTGTGAGAGCCCATTTTTAAGGCTCCATTTCATTGTTGATAAGTTGTCAAAGATTCATGTATAGATCACCAGTTTCAAACAGCTCATCTGTTACCTCCAGACTGTGCTCTGAAATAAGGTCTACACAAATATTAAAGACATCTTCATCACATGGAAACTCTCTGAACACAGTTTTCCAAGCAGGCTTCAACTTGATTTAAATGAACATGGTGCAGATAGTCCCGTGCTCCATACAGATGAGGTACTGTGTGYATGATGGATGGACGGCCATGAGGACTTCGGGAGTTGTGCACTGGGCGTATCCTGTGGTTTTCCCATGCTAAGGCTATTCCGTTTAGTTCTTCCTATGAGACAAAAAAAAATCAATATTACAAAAACAAAACATTTTAGCTTGTAATATAAACTTAATATCATCTATCTTTCTATCTATATCTCTATATCAATATATCTATATATAATATATATATAAATACAGTAAATAAAGCACATTTAAGCAAACAGTTGTGCAAAGTTACAGTGTGTATGGATCACCTGTTAAATTACATCTTCGTCATTTTCTGGAACTAATTTTTATTATTCTGCAGAAAACTTTAGCATAGCTGTAAAAGCACAGGGTGAAATTTAATAAAATTACCTAATGCTAAATTCAAAGCCCAGAATTACTGTATAGAAAAAAATACAAATCCTTTACTTCTTTAAAAAAGTTTTATACATAAAAGTTTCCGCCAAAAAAACATGTAGTATTATTTTTAACAAATTACATCAAAACACTCATTAATATAGTTCAAAAGATGTTTACCTGTATGTGTGAAGAWAACCAAACTGAATCAATGCGTCTGAGAAGTATCCATCTCTTTTCAGTTTATCAAAGAGGTCAACCCAGAACTGGACACACTGACTTCGCAGAATCAGCCACCATCTTTCAAYTCACTGGTTTCCAGTGCTTGGTCCAAGTGTTACATGGTCTGTTTCTGGAAGATTTTTGGAATAATGCAAAAATCTTTGCCTATCAGCAACGTGAACATTTTCAGTTAAATCCATTGTCAGTGTTTCAGGGCAGCCCTCAGCTTTGATCACTGCATCCATGAAGTAGCCAGCAATGACTCTTGGGTCATTATTTSTCTTATAGGCTTCAAGCCATGTGAGGCTTCTGGAAAAGTCATCAATGCACCCACTTATACCAGTTCCAAAAGTTGTTACTTTGAATCTCATAATTGTGACTTTGAAAGTCGAAATTATTACTTTTATGTCACAATTATGACTTTGAATCTCATAATTATTATTTTAAAAGTCGAAATGAACTTTTTCTCATAATCATGACTTTGAATCTCATAATTATAAACATACCATTAGACAATTTTTTTTCTTTTGAGTGGCAGAATTGGGCTTCCATACATTTCTCAGATTTCTTCAGGTCACTGAAAAACGTGCTCTTTAAAAACATTGTCTAATTTTTAGCTCTAAGCTACTGTTTTGGTAGTTTGGAAGCTAATTTTAGCCTTTGTTAAGCTTATTTTAGTTCTCTTAGCAAAAAGTAGTATACTTGAAATTCATTTTAATAAGTATACTTGAGTATAAGTATATCAAATATACAGCAGTTTACTAACAAGTATACTTCTAGACTAAACTGGCCCACAATAAGTTTATGCTCAGAAGTTCACTGAAACTAATCTTGAAATATACTACGAATGAACTCGTCTGTGAAAATGTACTTTCAGTGCACTACTAAAGTTTTTCTTGGCCAAAAGTCTAAACATTACTATAGACTAAGTATACTTAAACTTTTAGTATAATTTAAGTACAAGCAGAGTATAGTGTAAGATAAACTTGGTTAAGTATATCTCAGAGAAGTACATAAAAAGTAAACAGGAAGTATACTCTTATTTTTAATTTGAAATTAATGGATGCTTGCACATACTTCTTTTTGATAGGGGTTTGTATCAACATAGCTCCTGATATTTGTAGTCATTTTAAAATTTTAGCTTTTGAACTTATGCTTATTTGAATTTTTATCCACATTTTGTTATTTTACCATTTTGCATGTTTTGCTCATTTAATTTTTCAGCTGTGTTGGTAATGTAGCATCCATGCAGACCAAATTAAAGACATAAGAAGAGACAACAATGATCAAAATTTATCATCTGAACAGAAACATTCAGTTTGGTAAAATGAGTCCAGTTGTTTCAGGGTTAAAAACAAGTTGAGGCTTTTATTTTAAGATCTGGATCTAATCCTCAGATGAATAAAATGATGCTGATGTTGGAATCCTGCGTCCTGATTGGTCTGTTTCAGGACCCCAGACTCAGCTTGTTTCTGATCCACACTGATCCGTTTACCTTGGCTCTAAAACCAGACAGACGACGTGAAACTCACCTGCTATCAGTGAGATCCAAACACGGTTTGGTGCAGGTCCAGATCCAGGTCCAGGTGCTAATCCAGGTCCCAGTCCTGGCTTGGGCACCCGGGGGTCGTCCTGGTGCGTCCTCCAGGCCCCGGTGTCCGCCATGCTGCGGGACGGCGAGCTGACTGGCGAGGACACGGAGTTAAAAGGAGCCGTCAGGTGACCCGGATCGGGTTTCTGCCGGTCCCAGAGGGGACCGAGGTGCGGGTTTCCAGCGTCCTCGGGTTTCAAACACACACTGAGGTCTGAGCCGGACCTCCAGCCGTACACAGGCTCACCTGCGCCAGGTGAGTGAAAGAGGTTAGGACATGCAACACGACACTGACGGTGACGCCACGGAAACAAGACGGGGGCCGGAGGAAGTCCTGATCCAGATSCTTCAGGCAGAACCTAGAACAGGTCAGGCTTTGTTTTTGTTTTTTCCATCTTGGAGGAACAAAAACAAACGGGTTCCTGGAGCCTCCTGGACTTTAGACTACATTACCCACAATGCAACAGTGTAAAAGATCAACATAACAAACTCCTGTAGTTTAAACTGAAATCAAACCTCGAGCCTGAAGCTCCTTTAAATCCAGTCAAAACAATCAAAACAGAGAAAATGCTGGGGAGAATTTATTTATTTATTTATTTACTTCTTACAGTATTTTTAAAGGAAAAAACCCTGAGAGGCAAAAACTAAGAGGGTTGTGASCAGCTACGAGTCCAGCAGAGTGTGTGTGTCTGTGTGTGTGTGTATGTACTACAGCTTGGGGTTAACCACTCCTGATCCTTGACATTCGATGATGAAGGTGTTGCTCGGCTCATCCTCACATTTTGTTATCGTGAATTTGGCCTGAAAAACAAAAACCAAAGTTGAATCCTGCAGCAGGTGAAACAGTTTCAGATTAAATCGTCTGGTCGTCTGAACACAAAACAAGAACTCACACACATCAGGTCTTCTGACATTTTTGTTCCATTTCAACAATTCAGTTTTCAAAACCTTCAGCTCCTTCAGGACATTCCAGCCAGGACTTGTGGTATTTCAGCTGTTTATACTCTCAGCTATTTCACTTTATTCCCATTGAAAATGAATGGAGCYGTTTTCACCATCCTTAAAATCCTTCAAAATGTTTATAAATCTTTACACATTTTGTTCTGGTTCTGCTCTTTTTTTAACTTCCTCGTGTTAAATTTAACTTATTTTTTGACAGTTGTAGCTATTTTCGCCTATATTTCTTGTTCTTTCTGCTATTTTTCACTTGACCTTTATTTATACAGGTAGTCTCTATGGTTGTGTTTCCATTGACCATGAAAATGAACAAATTAGAATTTCTAAAATAAATTTGCTCAATGGAAACAAGAAAAAAATTACGTTTTTCGACAAAATGTTTTTGCTCTAGGATGAGGTGGTTTTTCAGGTTATCAAAATTGGTGTTTTTCGCAAAACTGCAATGGAAACAATTTTTTCGCATCACGGGAGTCACGTGA